CCCTCAAGTTAATAATAGGCTTATAATTGATGAGTGTTGATCACAGAAGCAAAGACAACTTTCGTAATTATACAACACAACAGGGTAGCCTTATATAACAATAATCTCTACTGCCTTACTAAGCAATGCAGTTCCCAAACTGCAACAGGGTTCAAGGTGACTTAAGTAACCCTCATCCACTTCAAGTTATTATCAAATTACACGGGTCAGTTGATTAAGAAGGCGATTATAATAGTCCTCACTGGACTCTAACGGAAACCGGCATCGAGTAAGCATCACCGAGGAAAGCAAAGCCCTCAGACAAAGGCTGCAACCAACCATCGTATACCAAGAAGTATGGAACAACGGCACGCGATCCCTCCAGTCTAACTTTGCTAATTCCCTTATTAACTGGTTCACATGGGTTCCCTAGCCCTGTAATCCAACATTCCTTAAATAAACCGGACTGTCTAACAATCCCTCAATCTCCGATGAGATCTTAAGTAACCGGCAGCTCCGATGAGAACAAGCACCACACTAACCGATCGCACCAGGCGCACCAGAGGTAGGGTTTTAATATAGCTAAGTGAACGATACAACTCTGTAAAGCTCCTATCTGCACGGTGCCGTCTTAAGAAATCCCGGCAACCCACGCAGCCAGTGCCCAGACCTAGGGTAACGCGCGCTTCTGATTGGTTGCCGCTTTCCACGTGCATGCATTATAAATACCCAGATTAAACACAAGACTACACAGCTACCCTGTTTCGCCACACTATGAGTTGAACAAAATTTGAAAGAAGATTGAAATGAGCATCTAAAATTATTTTAAGTGCACATACATCTATGTGAGAAAAAAATTTTCTGGCAAGACAGTGTAAACAATGGAAAACAAAAGACACGTACATAGAGCCTTAAAAAAGTTGGACGACCTTTCAGGATAAAGCTGGATATTCTACAAGGCATGGATGATAGGGCCCTGGTTAGAGGTTTTCAGGTAGAGAGTGAAAGAAGTCTTTGGGGAGGGTTCTAGACAAAAGTCTCGAAGGTTATAGGGAAGCGAATTTAACAATCTGGGAAAGCGGGTAAACAAAGAAACTTTCACACTATTAGTTCGGCAGGATTGATGTTTTAAGGAGCAGGGTGTCTGTCTTCCTCGTGTTAGGCTGTGGAAGAAAAAGAGACGGGATGTTGGTACGTTTCAAGAGGCATTTGATGACGAAGGAAACACTTAGGATCACAGGTCTGTTGTAGAGAGGGAGAAGGAAAGGTTTCTTCGTAAGAGAGGGAGGTAGCAAGATTGTAAGGAAGGCAAGATTTTGTGAAGCATCACTGAATATGCTGAACTGCCTCAATACATTGGGGTGAACAGCCAAACAGCCTGGCCGGGCTCGAACCCGCCCTCCTGGGCACGACGGTCGTACTGCTGCTTCTGGTAGCTCTGAGTCCGCCTCATGCCTGTCGCCGGCAAACTCGTGGGCCCGCGTGAGCTTCGTTCTCAGCTTGTCGACGTAATTTAGTGGCTCGGTAGTCTCTGTCCGTTCCTCCGGTGACCCCACAACGACGTCCAGGGGAAGTCCCACCTCCCTCCCGAGCATTCTCCCGAGAATATGCTGAACTGCCTCAATACATTGGATGTGTTTGGATTTCTTCGAGAGTAAAGGACTTTTTGGTACTCACCGCATAGGCTCGCCACGAGGCGCACAAGTATATGCGTGTTTGACACGGAGCACGCTGAGTATATACGCGAAACTAATTTATTTCGGCTTGTATGCTCTTTACGTACACCATGGTGGAAGGACGCGGAAGGAGTTACAACTCTGGCGCATCAAAGTGCTCGATGATCATCGCCGCCTGGTCAGACGAACAATAGTAAACATTCCAAAAATGTCTGATTACTGCCTGCAACTTAGCAGGACAAGCGGGGCCAGTAATATCCTAGCAATACTTGTGGCGTTTTCCTAGAAATTAACAGCAACTTGTCGCAGGGACCGGGAAATAGAAACAAAATATCTATCATTTAATTTATATCTACTTAAGCCGTCTTGAATTAAAAAAAATGTTGATGCACTTTTCCATTATCCATGCAATGTTTGCAATTTTACTTTGTCACTCCGAAACATCAGTTTTCAAAGTCTTTCTACGAATTTGGCTAAGTCTGGTCAAGGACATGTTGACCTCCACAGGACAGTTAAGTTCACGAAAAACAAAATACTGTAGCGTGTCCTACTGATCAGGGTTCGACGCTGGTATAGAAGCACACGCAGCCGCAACTCACTTTTTTGGTCACGAAACCTCTGTTTTATTGCTGTCGTCCACAACAATGCGTTTTCACCTCAACTCTAAACATGGCGCCTGTCCGCAAGGACTGCGCAGGCGCGAGGCGGGAAAACCGCGGGCCGTTCGCATACCAGCGCGGGCAGCCAGCCAACTCCATGCGGGTCCGAGCTGGCGCCCCCACCGGCCGGACCCGCCGGCGCTACAATACCCTGTTTCATCAGAAGGAGTGATCATGAAATCTCATAAAATACCTTTTGTGTAAATTCAGTAATAAAAATGATTCAAATAAAACACAAGATCTTATAAACAACTTGGCTATTAATTCCCAAAATAAGTCCAGAAGAAAGCGTTCGATAAGGACAATGACTGCACGTAAACACTTACGGCACAGGGCCTAATACAAGCAACTGCGCAAGCATTAAATTAGATGTTGTTGTCAAATCATACTAAGCACCAACAATGCATGAATATTCAACTTCCTATACTGCAGTACACAACGTCTTAAGGATATATGCAGATTACCAGCGAAAAATAGCGGCGATGATCACGGGGTACGTTCAAAGGGCGCTTATGGTTGTGAAACAGGTGGGGCGTTGCAAGCATTTGCTGCGCTCTGGCTATGGACATACCGGGCATAACAGAACTAAAGCGGTAATTGGCCAGATGTTGTAGCCCGGATAGTTCAAACTCCTGTGTCCTTCCTCCATACGTATACCATTCGCAATGCCCTCAATCAGCTTATAGAGAACACTGAATCCACTAGTTGCCATTTTACCGAGTCGAATACAAAGCTTGCCCGGCAATGCCCGCCTTTGTTCTCCCTGGCGTCAATAGAAGCAAGCCAACCTGCGCATTTGTATTCGGCTCGGTAAAATGGCCGCTAGTTGGCTTCTATTTTATACAAAGGCGTTGCAAGTCCGGGTTCTTTTTATATACGACCGTGGCAAGAACCCGCTTGTAACCACCTGTCTTTTTTCCCCGATTGGGGGTGCACTTCAGCTCGGGGCGGATACCGTACCGCTGGCTGGGCCATATGTGGGTTTGTTCATCCAATTTCCACCCGACAATTCCTTGCGAGCCCGAAATCTGGCCACAGACATTATAAAAGCATAGACCGCCAGTCTCGCGCGTATAATCGTGATTTTGAAAAGTATGGGCAAACAAAGGACGAAACGGTGGATGGAAGCGTGTTCATTGCTCATTGCGCACAACGCACTTACATTGCCTGTATTTGTTTACAACTGTGCTTCCAAATACGTTCACCTTTTTTGCTCTTTGGTGCTCTTACCTGTTCTTGTCAAATGTTGCAATCGCATTGTTTTGAATCTCTATGAGCGAGATTAAGTAAACAGAGGATTTTCTTTTACAATCGATGGTGGCTTCATAGAATTTTATGGTATGGCTGGAATTCTTCAACTGTGCGTAAATTCCCTATCCGCTCCGAGCAGGTACAAAGAGGGCGTGGTTTGAAGTGAAATTGACAGTCCTTTGGTACGCATTCACCGCATAGACGTGCAAGTTTATGCGTGTTTGACGCGGAACATGCTGAGTACGCGCGCACCGTGACAAATTTAAGAATGTAGCCTATGGTCTCCGCGTGCACGTCGAACACGTGCAAGAACCCAGTTGGAAAAAGTTAGTACCACCTGTCTTTCTTTCGCCGGTGAGGGTGCACTTCAGCTCCGGGCGGATACCGTTGGGTGAATTCAGTGCCGGAAGGCACTGTTCGAGAACCACCAAAAATGACTTCGTCACTTTGCACACTTTGGCGACTTACCGGTCAAACAATAAAGCAAGCGCACTATTTATAAAATGTCATACAACGATGTCATTTTGATGGTTCTGGAACAGTGCCTTCCGAATTTGCCAATAATTAATAGTCGGGCGCCGTGCAGATCACGGAAAACCCCCTGTAAATTTAGTTTTGAATATGAACTGGCGTTCTATGCCCTGTGGATCGGGCTGCTGCACGCGCATAATATGTAACCAGATCGGGGACCAAACCACAATCTAGCGACGTCCCTACTTCTCTGCTTATGTCGCTTGTTCAAGCAGCAAGACCATAAGACGTCTTTTTTTTTATCAGGTCACATGATAATGATGTAATTTTCCCGCTCGATTTTGGGAAAATAACAAGATTTGAAATGCCGGCAGCCACCATGGCCGCCGCCGTTACCGTTACCGTTGGAGTCTATGACAAAATTGTTTCCGATCGCTATGTTGGAAAATCGCCACGGTAAACATAAAATTTACCACGGTGAATCGATGGAGATTTTTAATGGAAACATTTTCATGCATAAATTAAACTTTGGCAAAGCTTTATTTTTTTCGCGTAAACGTTTTCATCGGCAGAATTAGACTCGCGCGTGCCCGGGGCCACCAAATTCTACACATCTCGTGCAAGATTCGACCGAAAAATCCCCTTGATCCGCTTTTATATATAACAAGTGAAGGGAAAGTTTCATTTAGTTCTTGGGTAGCATGTTTCCTGCAAAATCCGATCAATTAGAGCAATTTGTATTGACATTTTTGGCCGATAATGAGATAGATGTCATCTGCGAACCATGATCTAAAAATAGTTCAAAAATTACGTCATCGCTGCACAAACGAGTGGCGTTTGTGTACATGGCCGTTTTCCAATACTCAACTGCGGCTGCGTCTCAGGCTTCAACTGTTTTTTTACTACCTGACTTTGAAGCTGTAAGCGGACTAATTAGTCTAATAGTGCCACAAAACATCAAATAAGATGCAAAAGAACAAAAATTTACAGTAATCCAATTAGATTTAAACGCTTCAGGCCCACAATCGGGGATTGGTTTCAGGGACATAGCCCGAGACAGAGTTGAGTATTGGAAAAGCCTCGTCACTAGTTTGTGGCGGTTTGACGGTGATTTGGTCCCCGCGGTCCGCGCGACCTGATACTTCACAACGCCGCGCCAGGCCTGACAGGATCGTATATATATCGACGAGTCGTCCACGAGCCCCCTGAGCACAGTACTTCATTCATAGCTCGGAGAGTGAACATTAAGTTAAGTCCTGACTCGTAAGAAGCAATTGTAACTGACCTCACGTCCGTGCATGTAAACTAATAATATGCTAAATGTACTGAACGAAGCGTTTCCCACAATTTGCATGAAAAGGGCCGGGAAAGAGTTCCATATACGGACAACACTTGATGCCTCTGTGCATAACCATATGAGACTTGTGTAGGGCATGTTATCACTTTCTGACGGCTTTTATAACATTTAAAGGGAAAATCAGTGTTGTCCGTATATAGGCCTATGGACCTCTTTCCAAGGGGCATACCGACCACAAGCCAAGCTGACCTTTGCCCCCTCATGACTCTGCAGTTTGCAAACTGATTCAGTGATCATGCTTCTCTGCTGGTTTATGTAGTTTGTCCCGAGTCGAGTATGTTACCAGGGGTCCTGTATTTGACAAGCATAGCCTTTTATAACCACCCTTCCACTTTCAATTGTGAATGTCCATCATTGTACATGTATATATGTTACAACTGTTTGTTTATTTTGGGTTTTTGAGGTGGAACAGTTGACCTTGAATGGCAAATGGTCCATACAGAATTTGTGAGAGGCCCATAACTGACAAAGGTTTAGGCTAAAATCATTGAAAAACTTAAGGGAAAAAGCCATTTTGTCCATTATTCTAAAAGTGACCACACTTACCGATACATGTAGGTGACATTTTTCACCATCAGTGCTCTTGACGTTGAAACCAGTGAAAGGCCCATAACTGACCCACTTTGCTGAAGTCAATGAAAAAAAGTGAGGACACAATGACAGAAAATGACCACTTCTGACCCAAATCTGCTTTGAGCCTTTGTAAGGCTTAGCACAGGCATTGACCAAATATCAAGGCTAAAGGCGGCTTTCTTAGGCCACATAAAAAAAATAATTGGTGAGCTGCCTTTGTTTTTAAGTCTTGAGGAGGGAGGGCCTTTTTTCAGTTCAACATACATCTTTGCTGGATTAGAAAAATGAAACAAACAGTAGTAGTTTCCTCAGTGAAATCAGTTTTCAGACTTGAGTTGCACATCCAGGATAATAGGAGGGTTTTCTGAGAGAGGGTCATGGTGCTGTAGCTCTGTGAAGTGGAATCAATATCTGGGAATGGGTGAAATACTACAAACCTCACTATTATTTTGTGGCATATGACATGATCGCTATGACTTTGGGTCAAAATTTCATGTATTCTTACCACAGTCCATCAAAAAGAGCCTCCTGATTTATTTCATTTTCGAAATGCTTTTGTCCCTTTGGGGAGGGCTAGTTCTTCCCCCATCAACCAAAGTTTCCCGGTCACTTGATGGAATGAGAATTAAATTAATTCAAATGTATCCATGCCCTTTTTTTCACACTAGTTTCAATCACATTTGTTAAGAATATTTTGGGATCAGTTTTAACTTGTGCTGAAATGGTTGGGTTTATCACAAACACAGGTCTATCATGGTGTCTGCTGGTATGGTTGCCTTGGCAACCGTTTCATCACTGCTGTCATTGTCTCTGGTTGCATTCATTGTCGCTGTTGTTTTTTTCCACTACCGTCACTGGAAGTACAGTCATATCCCTGGACCAAAGAGACGGAGGTTTGTAATCATCCATGAAAATTTTATTTTTTTATTTTTTATTTTTTTTTTTGCTTCTATGAAGAATGCTATTTCTGGTAGCAAGCTCACATGAATGGTACAAACGTGCTGCTTTTATGATCGTTGAAAATTGATCCTTTAGAGAATAGCCTTTGCCACTTCATTCAGTGGAACTTGAAGGTACATACATGTACTTGACTTCTCATCAAGGATGCGCTGGTATATTGTTTTGCCATTCACAGTATTGTCATTGTTGGATGTTCACTTGAAATAAAACGTAAAGAGCAAACTTGTTCATACAGTGCAACACATGCAAGATGGTATTTTCAGTGACATTAACAAAGGGGGTAATATAGTCTTGGTTACAAGACGTCGATCCCTGGCGGTGAGGACATTAACAAAGTGGGTAATAGTCTTGGTTACAAGATGCCCCTAGCAGTGCAGTGTTTCAAGTCAGTCATTGGACTGTATAGTGATTCACCAAAGTGGTGTAGATGGCACGGTGCCCTGTACACACAAGGCTATCCACCTCTGGCAGAAGCAACCCCCTTATTGGTTGAAAAGAGCTACAGTGTATGTTTAATAGGCGTGAGTCTTCAAAGTTTTTTTATTTTGTTTCTCCTACAGTTTTTTTCTGGGGAATATTCCAGACATAAGGGATTATGTAGCCAGAGGCCGATTAATGGAGGATGCTGTCAAAGATTGGTCAGTAAACTGTTTACATTGATTCATGTTGCTTTTGTTGTGGCGTTCAGTCCCTGGCACACTCAAGCATGGATTCAGAGCCACATGTTAGGAGGGGGAGTACACAATGTTTCCAGGGAGGGGGAAGGACCAAATATTTGGGGAATTTCTTATCATAACCTTTTATTTTCCTTTTGAGCGGTGACAATTTGGGGCTTCTTATGTTATTTGCAAGAAAGCTTTTCTCATTCTAAATTCAAGAAAGGGGGAATGTTTGCCCCTTTGGTTATGTAAAGGGTCAAAGAAATGTGTTTTTTTTTGTTTCAATGAGATCCTTAAAAATGCACCTTTGTGCCTGATTAAACATATGTTCAATTTTTGTTTTGCAATGTTGGCTTCTGTAAAGGGGAATTCAGAACCCAATTTTTTTTGGGGGGGAGGGGGCAAACATTTCTTAAGGGGCTACACATTTTAGAATTCTTCATATGACCTTGTACCGGTGTACCATTATTTTAGGGATGAGGGTAGATTTAGGGTCATTTTACTTGTTTTTGGAAATAAGTGAGAAAATGTCCCAAAATCATCTTTTCACACATTGTTTCTTTATAAATGCTAAGAAAGAAATTGCCAAATTTTGGGGTTGCTCTAGTTTGGCCTTGGTTATTGTGTATTCCCAAAGTTGCTATCCTTGTGCATGTTGTAAGGCCATGCCTAAAACTTCTGGCTATGGCTGGCAATAACATGCCTGTCTTTGGAAAGCCGCAAGCCAGTGGCTATGGCCTTGTCGCATAGACAGATGAGACTTTTGGATATGGCTCGACTGACGTTCATGCCTTTTTCTATCTTTAAATGCAGGGCTGATGAGTTTGGGCCAGTTTGCGTTGTTTGGTTATTACATGTAAGCATGGTGTATTTCCATGACGTCCGTGTCATTAAGGTATGTCAATAAAATGTGCATAAATATGTGTGACAAGCAGATCCCGAACAACGAGTCTTAAGGTTGTTTTTACCAGTAATGCAGTTTTGGTTTCCGTTAGAAACAGAAAGAGCTGATCTCCTTTTAGTGATGTATTACTCAGTATGGCATCCAAATGAAAAAAAAATGTGGGCATTGTGTGGGTGAAAAGATTTTGACTTACTGTTTGCAAGTTCGTTTGAGGCATTGAACTCCAAAGCGGCTCTTACAATGTGTGACTCATTTTGTGAGGTTGGGTAACATATGCACCACTTGGTCTCAGTTTGCCAAGCAAATTTCACTTAATGTTAGTGTATTGTAGCGCCGGCAGGTTCGGCCGGTGGGGGCACCAGCTCGGACCCGCATGGAGCTAGCTGGCTGCCCCCACTGGTATGTGAACGGCCCGCGGTTTTCCCACCTCGCAACTGTACAGTCCCCGCCTAGACACCTCGTGTCTAGAGCTTGTGTACGAAAAACAGGTTTGTTGACGTCGGGAAAATAAACAGAGGTTTCTTGCCCGGAACGGCGATTTGTGGTTGACTGTGTGCTTCTGTGACAGCGTCAGAGCCCAATAAGTAGGACACGCTACAGTATTCCCCCCCTCCAAAAAAAACAGAACTAGTTCTGTATACCAATGTTAACTAAGTTTAACTGCTTCAAAACTAATAAAAAGGTGATGTGAGTGGGATTTTCCATCATTGTGTAGGAAATGATTATACCTTTTTTTCCCAAGCTGAGGAGATTTCAGGGCAGTGTTCCGTATCCCCATTCAGGAAATCCTCGTGCTGGAGAATCTCAAGTATCGTAAAGGATGGAATTATGATGGCATTGCGTCCATCTTTGGCGCACGGTTTCTGGGCCGAGGTCTGGTGACAGAGACAAATCATGAATTGTGGCTCAAGAGACGGGAAATTTTCAACCCAGCTTTTAGCCGAAAGTAAGCACTCTGAATCATTCCAACTGTTTGTTAGTGTGGAAGGGGGGGGAGGGACAATGCCGCCAGGTTGGGTGCAAGGTGGGGACCAGAGGTAGTGCCAGGCTGGGACTTGGTTAAAGGGCAAGATGAATTGAAATGCATTAGGATAATGTTTGTTTTTTGACTCCATTACCTAAACTTACCTAAAACAAGATGGATGGACCAACAAGGCAAACGGAAAAGATAGACTCACGTAAGATGTTGGTGCCCATTGCATTAGATTTTATAAAGAGTGTTGTATAAGGGATATAAAGGGTAAAAAAGGGGAATCCAAGATAAATTTATTTGTTTCTTGAATGTGTCATTATTTTGGTAAATGGCAACCATCATCTGTTTCTTTGTGATATCCTTTGTGGTATGTTTTGCATGACAGTTTCGTTACCCAAATGTGTCATCCTGGTTTTTGGTTCATTTTTTTAAAGCTACTTGAAGACGTGCATCAGTCAATTCAATTCTAGTTCTGATTTATTGGTGGGTTACCTCAAGTCAAAAGCTGATGGCAAGACAGGTGTTCGACTCATTGAGGCACTGAACAAGGCCACTATAGATATCATTGCCAAGGTCAGTAAGAGACACTTTGGTGTTTGAACACAAAGGCATGCTGAAAAATAGAGCACATGCTGGGTCAGTAGCTCACACGTGGTTGGCCCTTCCAGCGTGGCCGTGTACTAGCACCGTGACTCCCATGCTCTGAACATGTTTGAAGTGGCATGACATCAGGTGTTTTGCACAGCCTCGGTACAGCCATATTTTCCGAGGCAAAGGCCAAGGGAAATCCACCTTGAGCAGAAGCACCCCGGCCCTGATCACTTGAAAAGAGCCATATTGGTGGGTAGTGTTCACTTGGTCGCTGGTAGAAACGCGACTGTAATGCATGCATTCTTCAGTTCTTAGTCATTTGTGAACTGGCAAAATTCACTTCCCACCAAGGAAGCCACTTTTGCTAGGAAAATGCCCCCTCTAGGTCCACCTCAGGGGAGATAGGATCTTTTGGGCGCTCAGAGCCCCTCAGGGGAGATAGATATGCACTAGTGACCTCATTGCCATTCTTTATGTGTAGATATTAGTTTGTTGGACAGAAAATCAGCTTTCTTGGGATGGTGTAAATGTCAGTATTTGAGACCATTTTAGCAGAATTTCTGTGTATCATTGCAGGTTGCATTTGGATCAGACTTCCACCAATTTGATGCAGAGAAGATCACTTCATTCAACAAGGAATTTGACTTGGCCCTCAATGCGCTGACTCAGCAGTTTGAGAATCCCTGGACCTGGGTAAAGGGCAGTTTTGTAGTCAAGTCAGCAGTGTCAAGTTCGAGTCCCAAGTCTGAAGCCTCGAGTCAGAGTCCAAGTCTCGAGTTACAAACCTCGAGTCTGAGTCCAAGTCACAAGTCAGAAACCTTGAGTCTGAGTCACAAATCTTGAATCAAGTTGTTCGGTCAATTATTCTAAGTGAATCAAACCATGGAGGAACTTCCATAATCAAAGTTGTATATGCACGTCCGTACTCACGTGTAAATAACAAATGTGCTTGCACCCAGCGCATAGTCTGATTACCGTCGCACACTTTGTAAATATGGAATATGACGTGTCTAGTGGACTCATCAGTGGATACTTAGCCGTAGGCTACATAAATGGGCGAAGTGGAAAATGTGCAACGCTACAACGCCCCACGCATGCAAACCAGTGATAGCACGGGTTCATACAAATTAATTTATGACGGCACATACGGTAAATATGTTTAATGAAAATACTTGACTCGAGTCACAAGCCACCAAGCTCAAGTCCAAGTCAATATGATTGAGTCAGAGTCATTGTCCAATGTGACTCGGGTTGAGTCTGAGTCATGAAAAATGTGACTCGATTGTCTGAGTCCAGGACTCTAGTCATACAACACTGGTAAAGGGGCACCTTGTTGCTTATATTTTTAGAAATTGCTTTCAGTATTAAGTCCTCTGCTTATTTAAACTGGTGCAGAAAAGTGATCACGACACCTCAAAATTGATGAAATTACCACTGGTCTGTTTTGGTCGGTACTTTGTTGCTCTGTTGTAAATATAATTCATTCCATCCATCTATCTCTACATTAGAAAATTACCTTTGGAGAAATCAGTTGTGCTGAAAATTATGTAAAACAATTCATTAAACCGAGAAAAGTACTTCCCACTTTGTTTTTTTTCCAATCTTCTTCAAGCAGTACTTTCATGTATACTGGACCCACTCCCGTATACTGTAGATTACAGAAATATGCGACATCAGATTACCGGTAATTAGGTTCTTGTACAATGGGGTCACACCACACAAAATCTTTGAATGTGGTCAAGATGGATTAGGCAGTAATCACTTCAGGTGAATTGCAATAATGTGGCCAAGAGGGACTGGTATGTGCTTTTTCATGGGTTTTGAGAATGAAAATCTGCATGATACTGCCAGAGTGTAATAGGTCTCTATGCTTTGTGAGTTGAGTCAAGTCAAACCCTTGTAACATAGTGACTCGAGTCGAGTCATTGTAACATAGTGATTCAAGTTTCATCATTAGGCACAAAGTTGAGTTGAGCAAAGTTTTAGCTCAAGTCAATTCAAGTCTCCAATATTTGAATACAATCTGATAAATAAAAACAAGAGAAAGTCTATTTTTTGCATTTTAAATTTAATTCTTGGTTCCTACACGTGGTCACACCATATAGTACCTTTGTTGATAAAAACACGACGTGAACATTATAAACCTGCACTATGAGTCATTACAAATAATTTTTCGCAAAGAAGTTTGCTTTTATTTTTGGGACTCGAGTCTTGGTCTACAGATGAAGGGCTCAAGTTGAGTCTAATTATTTGCTAACAGTGACTCGACTTGAGTTTACCTGTCTCAACTTGAGTTGAGTCACTAAAACTTGGGACTCGAGTTGAGTCTTCACAATTCTGGATACTGCAGATGTTTGGTTATTTTTACACATGTAAAGTATGATTGATTAACCGAACTGTAGCTGAAGGTGTGGATGGTTTGGTTTATATGTTGACTGTAAACTAGGATGAAATATTGCCCAATTTTTACTGTGCGCGACTTCCGTTGTCTCAAGTAAGGTGTAACCTTTTTCTGACATTTGGGTGCTTTATTGCAATAAAATTTAAAACAGATGTAACTGGCCAAAGACCTTTGGACATTTGTAATTGTTGTTGCAAGTATTGGTGCTTTGTGACTAGTGCAACCCCTCAAGATCAGCACGGGACTATCGCGCCACGGTCCGCCAGGCCATCCAGAAGTTAAGAGAGACCGGAAGGATGATCATCCAGAAGCAGATGAAAGCCTTAGGGAGAGGGGAAGAGCTCAGCAACAACATCCTGTCCTTCATCCTTCAAGCCTGCCAGCATTCGGCGACAGGAGGATTGGACATGGAAGAAATGGTGGATGAGTTCACCACCTTCTTCCTGGCTGGTAAGTTGCACTGATGGTATGGTCTCCTTACTTGTCTACTGTCCCTGTAATATTGATATGGACTACAAGTGGCATATCATTTTTTTTTAAGATTTCAACAAAACTCAACTAGCAGAATTGATTACTTTTGGTATTTCAAGATTGCCCTGTCTTCCTATCTACCAGAGGTCATTAGTGACACCCATTTAACTTTCTTGCCGAGGAGCCAAAGCTTAAACAGTTCTCAGCTCCACGGTGATATACAGAATCCACCAGACAAACTAATCCTACTAATAATAATAATCTTATATAACGCCAAATCCATTTAAAAATGTTTAGGTCGCTTTCCTGAAACTATTAACAAAATAATCCAATCAAAGTAAAATTTCTTTAACACATTTTGTTACAGAGAATTACATCAAAACCAAAGCCAAAACCAAGGTACCGTAGTTAAAACTTTGGACATATCATTCAATGGCATATAAAAAGACTAACTCTAAGAACCATCATTTAGAAATCATAAGGACTAAAAAACATTAAACATAAGTTTGAAGGGAATTGAGAAACAACCAATGAACAACAGTTGAACAACCAGCACCAACCCAACCCCAAACCACAGACCAAAATCATAAAAATAAAACAACCACATTGCATTAAAAACCTTGAGATAATCCTAATAAAACTAATGCAACTAATCTTACCTAGGCAGAATCAGCAGTCAGTTCCACAAGTCATTGCGAGTCGGTGTTAGCCATCTGAGTTCTTTATATGAATCACACTGAAGATATTTTGCTGCTTGAGCCTAGACAACTACGAGATCAGTGGTGCTTTCCTGTTCGGCTAGTTGTGTATGAAATGTGGTAAAAATTAAAAGGCCTTTCTCAAATGAAGCCACTTCCTGCAGATTAGGCCAAAAATAAGTCTCCGGTTTCTGGTCAGCGCGTGTCGCTGTAGACCTGTGCAAAATAGAAAAGTTTTTGCTTTGGTATAAAACAATGTCCAAAAGCTGCCCAGCTTGCTTAATTGACTGGAATCCTGCTACTGTGTAATTTTAACGTGTTTTTTGATGAGGTATGGTTGAGTAATATGTACAGTAAAGGAGTCACTGTAGTTCCCCATGTTTAGTCGGAGACTGTTTTTCACATGACGTCATTTCTGTATTATACATTTACATCTGGGAACCTGACAAATGAGGTGGTCTTATGTCCTATGTACATGTACAAGCTGAAAATGAGTTTAAACAGTAAAAGTGCGGTGGACAGTCTATTTTAGTGTTGGCAGCAGCCGGAGTTACATGCACATGCAGTTGCGATGGACGTAGTGCATTATCATGCATCATTTCCAGAAAAAGGTGAGGGTAAAAAAAAACCAAAGCCACTTTGGCACACCACTTTTGGAGCCAGCCCCTGACCAGAAACCAAAGACTTTTTTGGGGGGGGGCCTTACCACGTACATCAGCATTTTTTAGTTTTAACTTTTTGACGTGCACATCAGCTGTGTCATATTTTGAAGATATTTGGACCAACACGCGGGCGAGTAGAGAACATTTGCACACTGCACACGGACGCACCTGTTTGCATTGCAAACGCAGTTTGAATATTCCTTCAAAGATGGCGTCCAGTAAAATCTATATGCTGTAAATCTTCCCTCTTCCTCATACCCCACGACAGGCAACGAGACAACTGCTAATCTTTTGTCATCCACCATGTTACAACTGTGCCAGCATCCTGAGGTCATGTACAGGTAATAATATGTCTATTAGATTTCATTGAGGTATTGTAATCGGCACAGGTGCGGAAAGGGCATTGTGTTTGCGAATGTCCTTCTTTCCAAGTTCCATAGAATGATGATTACATAAATTTTTCCACTCTATGGGACTTTGATTAGCTCTAAATCTTGAATCAGACTTGATCCAAACAAACAACTCGCACTAACTTCTGGAGACCAGCTGCAAGATAAAACATTCTGTTGATCAGTGAAAGTGAACCTCCCTGATATTTTGTGCTACCTCCAATCTTTCTTTCCCAATCTTTCTTGATAGGCTGAAGACAGAAGTAGATGCCGTAGTTTCCGACAAGGAATACATCCCATATGAGGATCTGTCCAAGTTGGAATACACAGTAGCTGTAAGTACTAGGTTGTCTCTACGTACATGTATATAGTCTATATATAGTACATTTAAAGAAATTTTTCCCTTCTGGAATCCAGAAGTGTAACTAGACAGAATTGACGGTTTTGTGGTTAAACTCCACATCATGGCCAGGGAAACGGTTTTTCTGGTCTTGTTTTAAACTACTGGAAAACTGTCGGCTTTTGTTCAATAATTTGATTTTACCAAATGTCTATGAAGGACAACGTTTAAATTTAAGTGGAGTGAAAATCATTTTGGTTAATACAACAATCTCTTAACTTTTCTTTAGCTGTGCTAGACCTACTGTATTAAAACTCTTTTGAATTTGGTCGAGCGAATAAGTGCAGTCGTTTTAAAGCCAGTGTTTTTTGTATGATAGATCACCGTTTAATGGTTGCTTTAGTGAAACTGTGAGAAATAATCAAGATGTCTCAAAATCATCAGCTCTCAGTGAGGCGCCATTTTCATTGTCATGATTGTGAAAAGTCAGTAGTTGAATGATTTTCAGGTTTCTGACTTACATATCAAGCTTGACACGTCACTTTCCCCTATGTTTCTCCTCATACCAATGTTCTGTCTCCCCCCTCACCCAACCTACCGGTATTTCCCAGGTTCTAAAGGAAACTCTGAGGTTGTGTCCCCCAGCCACCGGGACGTCCAGGATTTCCACTGAAGACGTGGTGATTGACGGGGTGAAGATACCTGCCGGGTCATTAGTGGCTGTAAGGCATTTCGTTCATTGTCGTTCTGTGCAATGATGGAGATTGGCCAGATGAGATGAGGGATGAGCAAAATCCTGAAAATGTCAAGGGCTGGGTTTCTCATTCCACTAGGGGCGTTATTCATGATGATGATGAACATTCAGTGTATACTAAATACTCTAATAACTTCTAATAACGCCATAACTTCGGAGTAAAACAATTTCGGTTTTTGTACAGTTAATGCTCCATTTCCATTTCAGTTGTTGGAAAGTTGAAAATGACCTCGAAAGCTGTATTCCTTGCGTTTCACCTCCAAAATGTTAGGGGGATGATCATATGGTCCATGATCCCCCTGGTCAAAATGTGGGAGGATAGATCCTTCTCACTCACCCCCCCATGGTACAACCCTGATTCTGTGTACAGATGTAAATATGAGAAAGCTAGGAATATTATTTAAATTGGACTGGAATCTCTGACCTTTGGAATGCTGTTATTTGGTAGTTGTGGGTTTTCTGTTACGTTGCAGGTGTCCTTTTACTCCATAAGCCGAAACGAGCAGAACTGGACCAATGCCCTGGAGTTTTCCCCCGACCGTTTCCTTGCTGGAAATGAAAGGTAACAGTCTCAAAAAGATTGTCTGTCCCAACTGAAGTTTGAGTTCCAAGCCAGGTTCACTGGATCATGCTACGTGACCTAAAAAAGGTGTAACATAGAAGGCATTCATAAATATACCTGCGGCATTTCGTCCACTCTTACTGGGCAGAAGCTTATTACTTGGGTGGTTTGTAACAGATGACGACTAAACTATCAACTGGTTTTCAATGCTTTCCCTGCTTCATATGAAATTTTGTACTTGGGATTTGAAGCTTTGCATGGTGGAAGAGACATGAGAAATGGGTTTACGGATACACCATGGAATCATTCTCTTTTGGGCAAGGTGTGGTTCTTAAAAGAACGGGTGAGTGTTAACTCACTGGTTCTGTGAGTTAACACTCACCGGTTCTTTTAAGAACCACAACTCACCCAAAAGAGATTGATTCCCTGGTGTACCCGCAAACCTGTTTCTCAAATTTTGTACTCTTATTTTATGGACTGTAGTCCTCCTATATGACAATCACTGACCTTTAATAAGTCGGGCATGAGCAATACAACCAATGAATCTGTTGTGTATAGCCAAAATTTGACACTGCACTGGTAACGTTGCATTCTGGGCTTTATCGCATATTACAACCCATACCAGCTTCCATATGAAGTGTGCAAGAGGTTATGCCTAGAATGATGTTTCAGAAAATAAAATTTGTTTGAAAAATATAGATTTTGAGTTTAATCAGACTTTAACACAAAAAGGTTTAGAATAAAAGCATGACAGAGTGGTTTAACCACCACTGGCTTGGAGCCAACAATGGACTTTGCCATCGACTCGGTCCATAAAACATGTTAATACCCCAAGCACCAATCTGCTTTCATACTTACTAGTTCACCACCTCCAGTTTGAATAGAGGCGCTTAATAACAGTGTGCATTTTCATTATGGATGTGTACAAATGGACATGGGTTAATCCTTCAGTTTCTTGACTGAAACCAACATGGCTTTTTTTTCCCAACCCCCTCGTAGCTCCTCGGGTGCCTTGATGCCATTTTCCATTGGTCCCAGAAATTGCATCGGCCAACAGTTTGCAATGGTGAGTTTTTTCATTTTGTTTCTGAGAAAACAGAAAAATTAACATTCAAATTCGAAAGTGAAGCTTTAAAAGAACAGACACATTGCACCTCCTTTCAAACTAGTTTTTGAGTATAGAGGGGATTCTGTGCATGGCTTTATGCCCTCATCATAGACCCTAAAACTCTAAAAGGTCAGTTTTTTGTCTCTTCTTTGGTGGGTGAGTGAATTCTGCCCCCAAGGTAAAGGTCTCTCTGTTGTGCATATTGTTTGTGTAACCCCCAGCATCCGTCAAGGGGTGAAATTTGTCCAAAGGAGTTGCTCCAGCGAAGAATTGGTGTGCTACTTTTCCATCCAAATGATAGTATAGCATTGACAAGGCCGGCATGCTACAAAGTCACATTTTCTTCCTGCAATGCACTTGAATGTGAAAATGAAGACTGGAGTTTGTAAATCCTGAGCACACCCACATTTTCACGCCCTCTCGTACAGATTGAAGCTCGTATCCTGTTGGCCAAGCTCCTGCAGAACTTCAGTTTCAGCCTGGTTCCGGGACAGAACCTGGGGTACGTCGTAGACACCACTCTGAAACCAAAGGACGGATGCCAGGTCTTCATAACGCCAGTGGACGAGAGTGTGCATCAACCCACCGGCAGCCAGTAAGACTGAGAAGGATCAAGGCATGTCCCCACCTTGAAGGTTAAACTGACATCACACAAGACTCTTTTTTAGTGTTTACATTACGAGTTGGGTCAGTGACACATATTGCCCCACCCTTTAGTGGATGGGGGAAGCGTAAAAGACCTGATCCCTTACACGTGCCATACACGTGTTCTAAATGTTACAGCAACTATGATTTCTGTTGCGAGTATTAAAGTTTAGGTTAAGCAAACACCTTGGCAATAGGTGTCATGGAACCATTCAAACAATTTATCTATGAGCAGGCCACAATGCCCATTATAACACATCTCTTGCTGGTTCTTTATCCTGGTTGGCTGAAATACGGTCACATGTAGTTCACTCATATGAGCTCGATTGCAGAATACTCCACCACCCCGCATGATCAACCTCATAGCCAGGTACAGGTCAAAGTGTCATACTCTTCTCAAGGGATTTTCACCAAGTTGTACCCATGTAACCAGTCATTCCAGTGGTCGTTTTTTAGAGTGGCGGGGTATTCTGCAATTGCTCTCTAATATGGGCTTGTACATGAATTTGGCGTCAGTGTGATTTGACATATGCCTAGATATTGCACGCGCCTCAATCCCAGAGACTAGTGCCTTGCCAGGTACTAGTGTTGAAAATTCTTGACTGGTTATTGCACCCTCCATCTGGAGGTTGTCCTGAATTGAAACAGTTCAAATCCTGGAAGATTTCATTCCTAGTTGTATACAGCAACTCAAAATTAGACTGTGTCCATGGAAACTGAAACGAACTTTCAATCTTTGCAATTTTTGGTACTGAGTGAAAAGTTGAATTTAAACAGTTAAAACACTAAAATAATTCTTTTCCTTGTTGAGTACAGCAACTCAAAATTAGACTTCGCCAAGGGACATCAAAATGAACCTTCAAGTTTTTTCTTTGGCAATTTTCGAAGTGCTATTTTAAAGTTGAATTGAACAGTTAAAACCCTGAAATAATATTTTTCTAGTTTGAGGTGTGTTATGAAACACATACGGACTGGCCAAATTCGGTCACTAGTGCACACCCGTGCCCCCTCAGGCCTGTGAGTGACCAGAAGAGGCCGGGTCCTATTTCCCAAGGCCAATCTCTTGAGGCCAAAGGCCTCTGGAAATAAGACCTTCTTCCCTTAAAGACATAGACGTGCACTAGTGACCTCACTGCCCGTCCATAATGTAGTATTGATTGAAAAATTATACAAAGGAGGCAGCATACACTGTTTTTTAGAGTTTGCATTATTGTATAATTTGACATATTTTACTTGGTACATGTATGTAAAATTGTGAACTCATGGATAACAAGCAGGTGTGATTTTGTGACAATGGTCATTATATCAATAAATTCCTGAAAGAATACACATTCTAGCCAGTTTGTTGTTGGTGTGAGCCTAGATGCTAGGTCACAAGGATTGTGTTAGCATTAAAACATATATTGAACCTTTTGATTTTCTCATTATTTTCGAGTTTTTAGTTAGGGTTGGAGATATCTAGTTAATGAGTGGCTTCCTGAAAATATTCTGTAGCATGTTACTTGAATATGAGCACAAGTATCATAAAGTATATTTCAGATATTGCATTTCAAATCCTTCAAAAATCTCATGAATTCCACTGATGAATATATGAAAAGCTAATATATTTTACCTTGAAATATCTGAGAAACATTTATCTAGCATGAGATATACAGAATTTTATATATAGTGGCTTGATTTTGGAAGGTTTGCGATTTATTTATGTTAATGAGATTATGGATGCTATATGAATAGCTAATTTTTTTTACCATAAAATATCAAGGGTTTTTTCTAGCATATGAAATACACATAATTTTATACATAGTGGCTTGATTTTGGAAGGTTTCAGATTTATGAATGTTAATGAGATTATGGATGCTATATGAATAGCTAATTTTTTCACCATAAAATATCTGTGAAATATTTTTTCTAGCATACGAAATATACACAATGTTATACATAGTGGCTTGATTTTGGAAGGTTTCAGATTTATAAATGTTGAGCAAGTCACAAGGGTGTTTATGAACTATTTCTGAGGTTGGATTGGCTTGAGGGAGATGGTAATTTTTAATTTTGGATTTTTTGCCCTGCCCAACATGAATTGTGACACTGTATACTCAGTGTATGCCCCAAGATTACATCTGTGAAGTTCTGTGATTTGGCGAACCATTTTGAAAATTAAGTGATTCATCTTTTCATTACTTAACTATTAAGTTTATACCAGATTTCTTATTATTGTTTATTAAAACAGACAGAACTTGAAACCCCTGCCTAGTCTTGTGTATGTGGATTGAATAATCTGTAATAAATCAAATGTATTTCTTAAAATTCTGTTAACCTGGGAGCCTTGTATTCGCATTATCTTCCCGAAAGTGCTTTCTCAAATTGACTCCAACATTTAATCCATCGGGTGTTAAGATTTCAAATTCATAAGCCCGCCCCCACTGTGAATTGTGAGAAGACCAAATATGAAAGCTGTTTTTACGTATGGAGGGGCAAGCCATTAAGAATGAATGCAGTGATTTGGATGTGAACAGAAGGGAACATTCGTAAACCAAATTAAACAATATGCAGATTGGCGTCGCACAAAAGCAAAATGGATTGAGTGACCTTGCCTTTGGAGGAGTGTGATATCCCGACAAATCCAATTTCACATCGACTGGCAGTGCTCTGGAATCATATCTTTCTGATAATGACTAATTCAAACTACGCGAACAGTGCCATGGTAAGTTAAATAAGCATCTTTTTCAAGATTCCCAGATTTTGGGGTGTGCAACTCTTTAAACAAAGGATTGCCCCAAATCGCAGGGTACAGCAACATCGTCTTTAGTGTGGAGAATTCAAACTTACCTTCATGTGACTTTAAAGAACTCGGTGTACCAGATATTCATATTAAACTCACAAAATGCCTACTGAAGGAAAGTTACCCATTAACTAAACCCATACAAGTCATTTGAAATCCATCTAATCATGGATTATTGGTGAGGGAAACATCCATTCACAAACAATGTCAAGCACAGATTTACATTGCAATCTTTTTAATACATCACAGAAAAAAGTAAGTCCAGCATATGTAAATCACCTAACTATTACTCTGTGCAAGGTTTAATATCATAAAACCTAGTTTCATAAATGATCATGGTCCATTTGGCTATTGGATAAACATGTTAAATACTACTACATTTGAAAATTTACACATTGTGTAGCAAAATTATTGCTAAATACTCCAGAGACAAAATATTCAGAGAGCTATTCATATACAAATGAAATGCTTTCCAAGATAAATTCTGTGTAGTTCAGAAATAGATATCTACAACCATAATATTTGTCAGAGGTATTCAACATAAAAATTCTACAATCTTAAAAATGTAACTTTTTGTGAAATATATTCAGAAAACCTTGTATTGTTGAAACAAAATGTCCTAAAAATATCTTATCATGAAATACCGTTGTCACATCTATGTACATTATCATTCATGACTTAACTCACATCAGATAAAATCCAACGTATATTATGTAAAATAAAACACAAACTTCACAAAATTTTGGATATGGCTTTCATTTTTTTGAAATGAGTAAAAATTGGACACTTTGATCTGCTTTAGATAGAAAAATATCAAACCCGTCTTTATGGTGAGTAGTAAAATAGTTCACACAAATTATTAAGAACACACGATGCATACAGTTAACTAAACAATTGGCTCAAATTAATGTACACAGAATATATTTCAATTTACAAACTCTGTTGCCAAATTATGTACTGTTTGTATTCATTACATTACTACAGACATTACAAAATATGATCTGAAACCATTACTCTACAAAACTACAAGCTCTACGCAAGACTATGCACATCCTCCAAATTTCTTATTGAATCCACGAGAAGAACTGTACAATGTGGTAGATTATCAGTATACAATACCCTGTTACAACTGTTGACCATTACAGGAAAAGCTACATTTGGCTAGTTTGGTGCACATACAGACGGATGTGAATCCTATCTCTCCTCTGCCCAATACAGAGGTGAGATTGGAGGAATAGGAAATGCCCACAAAATAATCCCACAAAGGTTAGGCCCCACAGAAGTGTGGGGTCTCTGGCATACATTCATGTTTGGCTGAAGGCATCCCTTAAACTATCCACTTCTTGTGTTCTAAATAAACTGTCACACATAAAAACACCGTAAACTCAGGATGTTCCAGATTTAAAAAGAGAATTTTTGAAAAAACCCTGAAATCAAGAAAATGAAAAGAAATCCTGAAATCTGGAAAAATCTTGACAAATCTCCCCCATGCAAAAAAAGATGGGGCAAGGTTGAGCCCCTCTGACCACTCCCCCCCCCCCGCCAGCAAATTAATCAAAAAACAGCGTCTTGTGTGATGTCAGTTTAACCTTCAACGTGGGGACATGCCTTGTTCCTTCTCAGTCTTACTGGCTGCCGGTGGGTTGATGCCCACTCTCCTCCGCTGGCGTTATGAAGACCTGGCATCCGTCCTTTGGTTTCATGGTGGTTTCAACAACGCACCCCAAGTCCTGTCCCGGAACCAGGCTGAAACTGAAGTTCTGCAGGAGTTTGGCTAACAGGATACGAGCTTCAATCTGTACAAGATAGGCATAAAATACTGAGATGTTCACACTTTCATTCTCAAGTCCCGATTTCAAGTGAATTTTGACAGAGAAAAAGAAAGAGGACACTTCCGTCCTTTTCATCAGTTTCACACTGGACGATGTGTAACTTGCAGAGATTTCCTACGCCGTAAGATAGAGGGCGCTTCAAAGCATTCTGGCAAATTCTGTAGGGCCTATGCAGTAATGGGTGACATCTACCCTCGTCCCAACCCTTGAGTGATTCCCATGGAGTCTGTTCACTATGGTTAAACTAACAAATGGAGGTTGAACATGTATGGAGCCCTCCCACTTTATTAAACAGAGACTGATGATGAGGTAAAACATGTCACACAAATCTTGAACGAATGACCACCTACGGTCAGCATTTGTAAGGTAAAATTTAAATTTTGCGTTAGGGATGGTACTTGTAGTATCTTGTCATTTTAAAAAGTCAGTATTTCTGTCCAAAGGTGCTACTGTGCCTGGGACAATTTTGTTGGAGAATACCGTCAATATGGTGATAAAGCTTCACTTTTACAATAGTATTTAATTGATTTTTTTTTTCTCCAGAAGACTCACCATCGCAAATTGTTGGCCAATGCAGTTCCTGGGACCGATGGAGAATGGCATGAAGGCACCGGAGGAACTACAAATACAGTAGATAAGGCCACATCACATTGTGAGCATGGGTGTTGCCAAGTTAATTTTTTTTGGGGGGGGGAGGTGCAAGCAACCATGGATAGCACAATTCCCCTTTTTTATTTTTCACCTTTTTTTACTAATGAGACCCACTTTTGCAGCAATTTCTGTGAAAATTCCCCTTTTTTATTTTTCACTTTTTTTTTACTAATGAGACCCATTTTTGCAGCAATTTCTGTGAAAATATCTTAGCTTTTCTGGCAAGTTCCTTGAGACACCTATGCGCATTATAGCATATCCATATTAAATTGGAGAAAAGCAAACCACAGAAGTAGTACCAACTGCTTTCTGGGTACTGTCTTCTCAAATACATTATACAGATCTAAAAGATAGATGGCCTGGTGTTTCAATCCTAGCAGAATCTCTCTGCAGAAGGTAAAGAAACCTGGAGCAAATGGCCTTCTCCTTAAGCCTGCTAACTTTCTTTAAATTTACATATTAAATTTGTGGGCCTTATGTGGCAAGTTTGCATTTTCCATGCAGAGACTCAATTAAAATAAGCCTGGTTCATAACTCGACCTCTATTAAACTAAGATGAGAATCTATCAGGGCTGTTACCTTCCATCTCCAGCAAGGAAACGGTCGGGAGAAAACTCCATGACATTGGTCCAGTACCTCTCGCTGCGGCCAATGGTGTAAAAGGACACCTGCAATTATAAATGGAGAGTTGAATGTAGAGGGCATCTCTCCAGAAGCACATCAATCAGGGAACACACTTTTTGCCAACTGGGCATTTTGCGAGAGTGCTTTGTCCAATTTTCATAAAACTGGCATGAAGACGACGTCAAGACATCGGAGGAAAAGTCCTTGTGGCTCAGTATGAAAAATGAGTTAAGTGACTGAGAAAATCAACACTAAAATTAAAATAACACAATCATGAAAGTGAAAACAGACTTAAACCTTGGCTACCAGTGAAATCCTTGATAAATTTTAAAGTACTGGTTATGATTTACAAATGCACACAAGGAAACAGCCCCAGTTTCTCTCCAAGATTCAATGAGCCAATATCAGCCATCAAGAACTCATTGCTTCAGCAACAAACATCTTCTCATTCCCTATCCAGTTTTAACGAAATCATCTGATCAACGGGCCTTCAAAAACTCCGCACCTGAACTTTAAAACGATCTTCCACACCAACATCAAAAAACTGCCCCACCCTGGAACAATTTAAACTTCAACGTAAAATGCACCTGTTCAGCCCAAAGAGATTTTTATAATTGTCTTATGCACTATAAAAGAACAGCTTAGTATTACTGTAGCATTATTATGAGACCTGCAGACCGGAGAACAGTACCAGAGTGGCTACAGATCCAACTGCAAGTAAACTCACTTTCCTTGGTCAGAGTAACTCATTTATAAGCAATGCCAGTCAGCAAAAGATTACAGAGACAATGAAATGCCTTACACCCAGTGTAGTACCGGCAGGTATCTTCATGCCGTCAATCAGCGTGTCTTCACTGGCGACTCTGACGGTGCCGTTACCTGGAGGACACAACCGCAGTGTTTCTTTCAGAACCTATTATTGGGTGAAGTCCCCCCCCCAAAAGAAAAACATTAACAAGATAAACACATTCAAGGCCATGGTTGTTCAGCAACTGACTTGACCTGGCACTATAGTGTGTGCATTGGTTACCAGGCAAAATTCCCTGATACATGTAGTTCGATTGTGTGTGGCGCCCTCAAGTGGCATATGGGACATTGCTGGAAGGTGTAGCATATATTGCTCCCAACACGGTCTCCGAGTTTTAAAAAGGTGATAAAAAGGTAATTAAAAATGTTTTAAATGTGATAAAGAGGGATGAGACTGGAGAAAACCAATATCTCCACGAAATCATCACCAGAGGTTTTGAGGGGCCCATGAACAGCGATTTAGGGTCCCTACGGCGTACATTTTGTGTTTGCCTCAAGACACCCCTCAAATACCCATTTCTTGCGTTACATATCACTTTGTATGTATACATAAAAACATCTCAGCGGAAAATTCAAAACTTTCAAGACGTTAAGAGAGAATGTATTTCAAATTCTGAAATTATGAAAAACCTGATGAAAAGAGAAACCTGAAATGAGGTAAAGTCTTGACTAATCTCACCCCTGGATATGTCACCCAAAAGACCAAAGGACTACCAAGGGGCACCATTCCTAAAGTCCAACTTTGTAAAGAACAGCAGTTGCAGTATCTTGTCATTTTTAAAAAGTCTCTGTATTTTTGCCGGAAAATAATACTTGTGCCCAGAGCAAGTGCAAAGTATTTGACGGCAACAAATCTAGCGACACCGGACCGTTAATCTACCATGAAAGTTAAATTCTATCTCATTTCGAACCTGAAATCAGCACAATTCAATTATCTCTTTTTAAAGGAACAAAAACCTTTGAAACTGTAAAGCATGACATTAATAGAAGCAACCAGGTACTTACAGCGACTGTGTATTCCAACTTGGACAGATCCTCATATGGGATGTAATCCTTATTGGAAACGACAGCATCCACTTCTGTCTTCAGCCTGTGATGGAAAAAAGAAGATTAAAGTTGACCCGAAAGGCAGGCTCACATCAAATAAGACCTAAACACCCAAAACATTGATAAAGTATGCAACAGGAGAGGCTCCACAACTTCAATTCATCTCTGCATAAGAGATGTATTGTACTGTCTCGTAAGTTCATTTTCCTGGCATAAATTCTGTGTAAGAATACTGATTTTGGTCAAGCGGATGACAGAATTTTCAGAACAGACCTCAATGAAAAATAAACTTTGTCAACTTTTTTGGAAAAATTGGTGAAAACTCCAAAAAAAATGAATATAATTACCTATACATGGCCTCAGGATGCTGGCACAGTTGCAACATGGCTGACGCTAACAGATTGGCAGTGGTCTCATTGCCTGTAGTAGGGTAAAAGGAGGAAAGACACATCACACATCATCTTGCCAAACTTGTTCCCAATCAGTCTAAAAGGAAAGTTTCAGTGAGCCAGGAGATGTAACTACGACAAAAAAAGGGATCCATCCGTGAATTCACGTCAAACATCAAGTCCTCTGACTGTTGTCAAACACCAAATCACAGAGACACATCAGCCATTAGCACAGAGTCCATGAGATCTTGCCTTGGAGGACAATTTCGTCATCTAGATTTTTATCGGAAAACCAAGAGCTGACAAGTACAAGTACCTTTTGCAGATTCCACTCACCTTTGGTTGAACGGGAGATGGGACAATTTTGACATTTCTAAATTGATCCTTTCCACTGATTGATCTCCGGTGAAATCTCACTTTGGATTTTGCCGGATTGTCTGCAATGTCAGTACCAGAGGACCATTCCGTCACTGGAACTTACCAGCCAGGAAGAAGGTGGTGAACTCATCCACCATTTCTTCCATGTCCAATCCTCCTGTCGCCGAATGCTGGCAGGCTTGAAGGATGAAGGACAGGATGTTGTTGCTGAGCTCTTCCCCTCTCCCTAAGGCTTTCATCTGCTTCTGGATGATCATCCTTCCGGTCTCTCTTAACTTCTGGATGGCCTGGCGGACCTTGGCGCGATAGTCCCACGCTGATCTCGATGGGTTGAACTGATGACAAAACATCAAAATTGGTGACGGCATTAAAAAATCCCCAAAGTTATTTGTCCAGTTCACAGTTTCGAATATGACAATGGATTTTCCGTTAGCAGACATCAGCAAACTTCACCAAACCATGGACCTTTCCGAGCAGAAGTGCTGTATGAATTATTTCCGAGGGGTAAATCTTTGGGGCATCAGCAGCAAAACAAGAAGCAACGAATGGTGGAGAGAGTCCATTCTGAGATATTTTTACGCAAATTAGTGACTTTCGTCCTGTTTCCCCCTTTTCTTTCATTTCTTTTGCACCTCCCTTCTGTGAATTCCAATTTTTTCCACGCTAGGATGGGAGATTTGCAAGGGATGACCATCAGTCACATACATTTAGAGAAGGTGGAGATAAGATTTATCCCAGATCAGATTTGAAGGTTGCTTGTTTTCTTTAATTTGGTGGCTTTAGTTTAATATCGTAGAGGAAGTTTGAAGACTGCTGGAGGAAGATGGCAATAATCCAAACTCAAGGTGATTTTCTTAGTTTGTGGTGGGGCATTTTCTAATGTCTTTAAAGCTTCTCTTCTCCGGGGAAACTTTTCTTTCTAAAGCACTCAAAACTGAGCAGAATGAGGCCTGTAATATAATACAGAAAAACACACAAAAAACTCATTTCATATTGTTTGCATTCATAAATAACGAAAAGCTGAGTCATTTAGAAAAACATAAGTTGGCCTTTTTGTAACATGGTGGATGGATTTACTGCACTGTTTGGACTATTTCACCTATACGTAGTTGTGTGTTTGAGGAAGAGGAACTTTCAACCCCATCAACAATTTAAGTTGAATTAGCAGCAACAATGATTGTTAGAAACAAACAAACAAATAATCTATTGCAAATTTGACGACAGAAAAAAAAGAAACCTTAAAAGCAGGTAGAGATCGGAAACTAGATTTTTTTTTGCGGTCTAATAACTTTCATTTTGACATATTCAATGTAACTGTAGAGCACATACAATCACAAAAGTACCGAAAATTAAAAATTAAAAAGTTGCACTTAACAGACAAAATCTAGAAATATAATCGACAAGGTGCCGCCTTTACCGTATACCACGGCTTCTCAAACTGCATCCTCATTCCTCTGAGAGCCGTATCAAATTCCTCGTTGAATGAGGTCATCTTCTCTGCATCAAACTGGTAAAAGTTTGAGCCAAAAGCAATCTACAATCCAAGCAAAAAAATCCAACTAATAGTCTGAATATTGATTTGAAGAGGAGAGAATTCACTGTCAGTTATTACCCTCTTCAAGTATACATTAAAACCATTTCTGGGTGATGAATCAATGCAAATCAAATGAATATCAATGCCTCAATGACGATCAACTTATTCAATTGATTATTAATCATTACAACTTTCTTTGAATCCGAAATCAGGATGCATTTAATTTGAAGGAATTTTCGGACATCATACAGATCATTCAGCCCAATTTTGGAGGTTAACTAGCAGCAACACTGTGGCAATGGTGACAATGGAGGGTAAAGGGAAATCTACAACATCCAGCACTGGGGTTACCATGGTGACAGTTCAGGGCTTGAAGTGACTCACGAGGCACGAGTTCACCGACAAATTCACAAATAGCCATGATTATGAACAATCTTACCATGGAGGGGAGGACGACCAATAAAGCAGCAAGACATGAATGATTAAGGCTCTGAAAATCCACGACTATGATGTCAAACATCCCCTCAAGTCCTTAGGAATCACACCCCCGCTGTGGACACTTTGAGAGAACTCTTTCACAGAATTTTCTCAAAATACCAGAACACAACGTGTTGCACACTTATTACAATGCAGTGGTCTCAAACAGGGTGTTACAAGACTAACATCAGAAATGCTTTCAAGAGACAGTTTGCTTGTTTCCCAAGTGCTCAAATATCTACACAGTTACTATCAAAAAGCAGCAAGTCATTCCTGCGAACTGTCCTGGTCTGCACTGAGCTGTGCACAGTGAAAATAGAAAAGGTAAGCACACTTTGGATGTTGAATAAAATGGTTTCTCTCATCACTTATTAGCAATTGACCAATGTAAAGTTGTGCTTCCCTCTAAGACACGCTGTTTGGAACGTGCAAAGAAGTATTCACATTATAAACTAAGGGGAAAAATTCAACCACCGCCCATCAATTTTGATTTGGTATCTCAGTTATGTTACTTGTCACTGCTCTATCATAAGCATAATTCTGACCTTAGCAATGATGTCTATCGTGACCTTGTTCAGCTCTGGTAGGAGTCGAACACCTGTCTTGCCATCAGCTTTGGACTTGAGGTAACCCACCAGCAAATCAGAGCTGGCATTGAACTGATTGATGCACGTCTTCAAGTAGCTACAACCAGCAAGAAAAAAAACACCAAAGACCAGAGTGACGTGTTGACAAACAAGTGCCCCCTTCGTTGCCACAAATTTGGAGAGGAATATGTTCATAAACCACACACATTAAACGGAAGTCTACTGTCAATATGTACCAAATATTTGCAAATGATGTAGACCTAGATTTGGAAACAGTGAAGCTGATAAATTTTTTTTTAATGCATTCATACATAAAAATGGTAGAAAAACAGACGTGCCAGTGTTCAAAGACCTATCGTTATCCATACAATCCAAAATCCTAGTTTATGTTGATTACATGTGCATGTAGTTTTCTAACTTAAAAAACTGTGAGTGTATCCGTTAGGTTATGGAGCAAATGGAATTGCATGCCAACAGGGCAGCGATCGCAGTGCTTACTTTCGGCTAAAAGCTGGGTTGAAAATTTCCCGTCTCTTCAGCCACAATTCATGATTCCTCTCTGTCACCAGACCTCGGCCCAGAAAGCGTGCACCATAGACAGTTGCAATACCGTCGTAAGTCCAGTCTTTAGGATACTTCAGACTGCCTGAGACCAGGATTTCCTGAGAGGAAAGAGGAAAAACTGCTTTGAAATTGGCTCACATTTGGCTAAACAGCAATGGCTACATATTTGCCGCTAACAACACTCTCTGGCAATCATACTTACGACCTAAATGCAATTCCATTCAAATTCTACAACAGCCTCATCTACAAATAAATATCATTTCTTCCAGCAAATTAAAGAGCCCCTACATTTTTTTTAAATATGGTCGTTTTAAAGTGAAAGTACACTGTACACCTTTAAGTCTCATTTCACCAAAATTTAATGTCCATTTTTAATTCCTCTATTTGACGCATGTGTTTATGCTGATGCAGGTTTTCATGTTTGCAAGTAAAAGTGTGAATGCTACAGTTATTTGGGAACCAAAATCTGCCACATTTTGGGACATTTTGACGTCTTAAAGTTTCCTTTCTTTTTTGATTCAGCGCTCTTGGAGAATCTAATACTACTGCTATTGAGTATTCAGATGAGGTCTTCGGCAAGTTTTAAAGATGCCTAGATATTTATGTACATTATTTTTCATTCATTTTCATTAACTGACAGTGTGGTCTAGTGTCTCCAACATACCTTAATGGCTCTGGTGTCATTGAAGTACACAATGCAACGGTGTAGAAACCAAACGACGCAAACCGGTCCAAATTCATCCGCCCTGCATGCATTCAAAGACACATTCATGAATATCTCAGAGAGTTTCCCTATTCAACAACGTGCAGCGTGACTGTATGTTAACATTTGATAATGCCCGCTGTGATTTGGTAATGCCCATTGTGTAAAAATGCACTGGCAGCTGGATACAAGACAGTTTAATTCATTCCTATTTAGACTCTGAGGAATGGCCACGCGCATGCTAAGTCCATATAAGGATGTTCTTGTGGACTACTTGCACAAAGAATATACCATAAAATGGACGGGAGTGTTCGGGAAAATAAAAGAAAAACTCTAGAACAAAATCCTTGGAAATGTATCGTATTTTGATTTCTTTTGACTCTCTGACTGAAACAGTATTTACGAATGGGATTAAATATGTGCTTGGCCAGTTTTAAACTAAGACTTAAGACCGGCTCAGGAGAATGAATGCTGATGATGCCCTCGCCTGCCGCTTGGGCATTACTTGCGTCCTTTTTCCTGATCGGCCAAGTACATATTTGTTTGCTTAAAAGGAACCAAGCATCAGGCCATATTTAACTGTACCGTCAATGAACTGGATGCCACCCCAAGAGAAGCAAGAGGAACCCTTTGCAGAGTATAAAAACACTTGATCATTGACTTGATAACACGAACTTAATATAAAAACGTCTGAGGCACCAGACAGCTTACTTTGTTATGACCAAGACTTTGTTATAAGGAGTGGAAAAACAAACCATAAGAATTCAAGAAAGTAGGATTGATCTTAATGACAGTATTTTGTTTTAACAGTGTTCTTTATATTGAGAGTGGACTGTAATAACCAATTTCTGGGCTGAAATAAGAGGAAAAAACACAGAGTGCTTCTGAGAGGGAATTGGTGTTACTTTTATTCCCTCATCATGTTATTTCACTCACCAGTCTTTAATGGCATCTTCAATCAATTTCCCTTTGGCCACATACTCCCTGAAGTCCTGAATATTCCCCAAGAAAAAGCTGCAGAAACAAAAGATACCACGACTCACAACCATGGCTAACAACCATGACTCACAACCACGGCTAACAACCATGACTCAAAACCATGACTCACAACTGTAACAAATTCAATTAGCTCCTCATTTGTGGAAAGGAATATCACAAACATCATCTGCTTAGTGCCACAAAGGCCTTCTTAGGGTCATCTCTTTCCTTCATTTCAGATTTTGAGTTTGTACATAATTATTAGTTAACAGATTTGTTTAAATCTGAGCCCACTTTTAGCTGTCCATTTTGATTGGAGTGTCCACTGTATTTTTGGCTAGGAAAACCCTTGTAGACAAATGTGTCAATAAGTACACTTTACAACTTTGTTTACAGTGGTTGAAGTATTGGCTTTATACTCCAAATAAACTGTCCGAACCCTGCCATTCAAGAAAGGTACAAGAGCAAAGGACAAATGCAGGCCTCACACCAGAACTTACTTGCAGTTGGAACACAGTGAACGCATGAAATTATCACCTGTGTTAAATGCCACAGAACATGTAATCTTGCACAAAGACCAGGCTCACTTATGAAATCTTTTGTATGTGCACTCAATACTGGCCACAACTCAAAGGTACTGAGTGTGCGACTCAACAAAAAGAAAGTTAAAACTAAAACAATATGACCATTTGCTCAAATTTTTCTCTGTCCTGTCCTTACTCTTTTGCTGGTGAAGAGCAAATAATTTGATTGACCATTTACACCAGTGGTGATGTTAGAGGGGTGTGTTATAAGCATACAGGACATGATCCGAGGCAGCCTCAACTCTCGGCCAACACTGGCAAACCAAAGATCGCGAATCACGATCAGATGTCATACAATTTCAATTTAAATTCTGTAAGACTGATCCTTTGCCACATGTATTTGAAGTCAGAATAAGCCCATGTCATAAAGCAATGAAGAGAAATATGCCACAGAGCCATTACAAACAAGTATACAAGTATGAACTTGATGTGAGAAACAGCCTACTTTATAAAAGAGAAGGAAGATATTGTTTTATGGATACATGCACAGGTCTACAAACCTGCGTCTCTTTGGTCCAGGAATATGACTGTACTTCCAGTGACGGTAGTGCAAAAAAACAACAGCGACAATGAATGCAACCAGAGACAATGACAGCAGTGATGAAACGGTTGCCAAGGCAACCATACCAGTGGACACCATGATGTTCCTGCAATAAATCAAACCAAAATTTGCAGCTGTTACATTCTGGATAAACTATTTCCTTCAAGTCCTCTTTCTTATATTTCCATATTGCAAATAGAGCTAGAGAATAAGTTTGCATCAAACAGCTCCATCATGATTCATCTGAACATTACTGCACCACAGAAAAGACAAACTTTGAAGTTTAGCTGACATAATATGTTATGTATGAATAGGTCTAGCCTAGGTTTCAATTCATTATGAGACTGGTATGAAAAGTGTTTTCTAAGTAAGCCCTAGCACTGCCTACGCCAAGTTAGGGAAGTGCTCCATAAACAGACGCCATGTGACTCCCCGTGCACAAACCCTATGAAACAGGTCTGAAAAATTGTGTTCGATATTTTCCCTGCTAAATTTGGCTTTTTAGGATTTATTGCCACTTTCTGATGGCTAACAGTACACTACTTGAGGGGAAACCTTTCACCACCTGACCACGAGGCGCATCTTATCACGGTAGCTTACCTGGCATAGGAAGCTACATCATACATGTACATGTATGTACGTTAAGTTCGACAAACTTCCAGACACTTTACAACAACTTAACTTGAGTTCGAAGAAAGCGAGCCCCAATCAAAAGTGTGTGCCCATTACTCAAAACGTTAGCAATCACTGGCACAATTACAAGAGACTGTATCACTGTATTTCGTTATTCTGACCTGCTCCTTTACACGTTCTTGACTTAAGTCTCAGCTGGAGTCGCACCGCGGTAAGTTACGTAGCCTACATGTAATATTGAATGACCTTGGATGCGTAACAGGAACATTGCCAATAGAGGGCGTAAACTAGGCTAGTACTAGATAGTACGTGTACCGTGCATCGCGTGGAGGATTCCTTCCTCCATGCACGTACTTACCATGTACCAGCACGCGCGCCTACTACGTGTGCAGGTCTTAGTTGAGCAGTTTCAGCCTAGCATGCGCATGCAAGCCTTGACAGAAGCTTGAAGAAAGATTGCATTGGTAAGTCGTTAATGTTAGTCAGTGTAAAGCTTTAATATTATTTCAAAAAGCATTTTGCTGAACCTACCACATCATGCATCACGGGGAAAATATTTGTCCTAAGTAGGCTAGGCCTAACAAACCGTGCAGTGACCCTAACAAAATCTGTTCCTTGTAGAAACAGTTCCTTGTAGAAACGGTTCCATGTCAAGACATATGTAATAAACGGACTGGGCGATAAGATACTACATGAACCAGTGGGCCCTTCCAAAACTTTGGCAGCAGTTTAGGTGTCTTGACATGGAAGAGCCGTCGAGACGATGAGAGGTCAAGTGACGTATTGTTCAACGATCTTATTTTAAAGATGGCGACTGTGAGAGCGAGCCCATGATATTGAATGGATAAAGGCAAAAAGACTAGAAAATACCTGAATAATGTGAGTGAAATCATTCAATAAATGGTTTGTAGAAAGCGGAAAGGTCAAGAATCATGTTCGTGTGCAAAAGAAATTGCACCCACGATGATAAGTGGGTGCGCCGAAATGTTCAATACGTTGACACAAATTGCGCATACGGATGTGTGGCTAAGGATGGATCCGGAGTGAGAGTCCGTGCCACACTAGTGGGGCTATGTTCCTTGATGGGCCTATCAATCATGTTCATGGAGGAAGGAAAACAGATCCTCCATGTTTCACACCGCAGCCATGGGGGATTTTGCAAAATGATAGAAAGGCATTGTGGGAAGGAAAACTTCCCACAATGCCTTTCTACCATTGTGCAAAATCACTCATGCAGTATTAATATTAGCAATATAATCCATTAATGTCTATCGCCTCACTCACTGCTACCCCCTAGTGCCTGTGCAGCTGTGGGATTCGTCGTCAAGATGTGGGAATGTGGCGGACAATGAACCCCACCCATAGTTCTGGAGTTAAGTCCATGCTCTGTTAGAGCATACACCTACATGTAGAACTGCACCCAGAAATGTGGTGACGAGGTTTCCGTAAACCCTGGCAGTCAGCTTATTGTCATTGTCTGATGTTGTGCAATTTTGTTTTTGGCCTCAAACTTTATGACCCGGCGCAGGCAAATTCAGAGACATTAGGGATAAGAATTTGGATGACGTAACTGACATGTGATCATCTTTATTCATGCAAGGCAGTCCACACTAGCATCGGGATTATGTGGTAACAGAGAGCGCTCTTAACAAACATGTACACTGTATTTTGCCTGTCTGGTCTATACTCAACACATTCTTGAGTCTTTCTTTTTTCTATCTCCGTTTCCAGATGAACAAGACTCTTTGTGCTCTGCAATCGCCATGTTGAATTATAGGTCTTGCCTGTTAGCTCTGAGGTCAGCATGTCAGAACTGCCCCCTGACAAGCTACCCCGGTACCTGCGGTCTAGGTTCCACCAATGCCTTGTGGACCTCCGGGCACACCCTGAGGCTCGCTGGAGGCCGAGTGTCCTACTCCCAATACAGGCACATGTCCCTGCTGTACTACATGCGCAAGATTCCCAAACGATTCAAGGAATTCCAGAGGTTCCAGCTGAATATGTAAGTACACATGAGGCATGGATATCAACAGTCTGCATTAGGTAGGCCTCTATCGTGGAGCAGCCATGTTGCTTTTCCACCATTCAAAGCAAAGTGACCAAATTGACGCTAGAAGGTAAATAAGTCTGGTCCCTTTTAGCAATATGTGAAGTTATATTACCATTGCCAGTGGGTCTTTGGGGAAACAATACAACCATCGCAGCATCATCATAGAGGTCAGGCTGTGTCCGAAAGGGGCTTCCAGAGCTAAGGCTGGGTCTAATGTCTTGGTGTCTCAGTGTATTCCCTATGGAGCAAAGTCCTAGACCTAGCTCTAGACAACAGATTCGGCCTCAGTCAGTCTCAAGGGGATCACAGTTCATCCACTCTCAAGGCAAGTTTGTTTAAATGGACAGTGGCAAAAGCGTTTCTTTGTCATTCAGCCACTATTGTTACTCCAACATGCTTCAAATCCCCTGTCATCTCAAATTATACGGAGGCCATCCTTTCCTTTGTTGAAAACCCAGTAGTATTTTATATTACCTGATGGCATTTTAAAACCAGTGACTCGATTTTTTTTGTTACCGCTACCTCCTCAGAGTTGAAAGGCCCACTAAAAGCAGCAAATTCCCTTCAGAGATTGCCACCTATCTGTGGCTGATTAGCCTGAAAGCCAGAGTACGTTTCACCAATGGCAAGTGGTACACGTCAGAGGTGAAAGGGATTAGAGAGGAGCGACCGGTCAAGGAACTCATGAAGTACAACATCGATGCCATTGATGCCAAAGACACATTGATAGACTATCACGGCATGGCACAGATAAGTAAGTGGTAACAAAACATTACACTATTTGCATTTATGTAGAGCCAAATTAACCACCTGCGCAGGGGGCTCCGGTAGCGGAGCCATAGGCCTTATGTTCATGGCCGGGGTCTGCGAACTTGGACAAACGGAACAGGGCCCTGTAATAAAAGACCATACTCCGAACAAAAGACCAGGCTGCTGGGCATTACCGACATTTTTCACACTCAAAAGTGGAGATAATCCAGCCTTGTTTTGAAACAGTATACCACAACGTGGGGGTGCTTAGAGCAAGCGGATTACCACCGGGGACAAAAGCGCTCCACCACCGCAGTGATGAGCCACACAGCACCGCTGCATGCTAATCTGGACCCTATTTAAAAGAGGTCAGCAGTGCACTGAGCCAGGTTTGTGAACGAAAGAAAGTTATATAACACCTTACAATCTGGGCTCTTTTTACAAGGCTGCGGGCCTGGCTGAAACACTCGGGCATCAATGAAGGTTACCTGTCAACTTAGAGTAGTGCCTAAAGATTATTTCGTGTGGGTATAAACATCCGTTAAATGAAATGATGAATTTTTTATGAATTTTGAAAACAGAAAGAATGATAATTATCCTGGCCCAGCATCATCAACATTGATAACTTATCCCGGCACCAAGTGGTTAATAGGGATTCAAGGCCCTTGTAAAGAGAAAAGAAAAAGAAGACAAAAGAGGGACAGGTCAGCTATGATCTGGAGACAAGTTATATCTTTGGGGCACATTTTAATGATGAGAGATTGTCTTCATTCCTGATGTGATGAAATAGATTGTTACATAGTTGGGAAACAGCAACGGAGAAGGCCCTGTCACCGGCCTTTTAACAAGACGTGGGGACCGCAAGTGAATAGAATTCTAGATGTTTCATGTGGTGACTTCATTATTTCTGAGATAGAGACACAGATGACTATAGACTACTTCACTAACCAAATTAGGAGCCACTCCTGCAGACGGTGCCACGCTCACGCTCAGATGGTACGCGTACGCGTACATTAGATGCCTCCTTGGCCAGTGTGGTGTTGAGACTTACCTGAGTGTCTGTACTCAGACATGAGCGTTTTGTTGGAGTTGTCACATTCTTTGTATCTCCGTGGTTGGGATTTTTTGGGTGTTGTAGAACTCATTACTTTTCTCTTTGTGTCCCTTCAAGCAAAAAGGGGAGTAAGATTGGGGTAGTGGTTCTATCTTCACCTTTCACCTCTGCAGCCAAGGTTTGGCCCACAAACGGATTGGGTTTCCACCAGTCCTAACCTGATTCTGTGGGTTCCACCTGGAACATTCTCGTGGGGTTTTCCTCCCACCTCTAAAAACTGCAACTGCTTCTCCTTGTCTCCTTTCTACACAAGCATTGTCAGACTTGTGGTCTTCAGTGCCCCGAGTACTTTTTAAACATCTTTCATGACTAGAAATACTTCATAACAAGAATAAAAACCTCTTCATTTCCTATTTTATTATATCCCTCGCTCTCACAGTAAAACTACAGCAGCTCAAGCTCCTGAGTTTCGAGGGATGCCCGTACATTGACGACAGCTGCCTCAGTCGCCTGGTCCACTTGAAGGACTCACTTACACACCTCAACATCAACAAGTGTCCACAGATCACCGAGCGTGGTCTGGCCTGCCTGCACCACCTCAGGTAGTTGGAAACAGTTCATTTGCCGAAAGCATGCCTCATTGTTTCATGCAGTAAATGTTGCGGAGATTTTCCAGATGCTTATTTTAATGGTAGTGAATCCAGGTTTCACTGGCTTGATTGTAAGGCTTGGAGACTCATTATCATTATGTATTCTTGAACAAATCTACCCCCTCCTTCAAAAACAAAACAAAACAACATGCATGAAATAAGCAAGAATACTGACACATTTGAAATCAGGAACAACCTGTTCTCTAACAGGTGTAGGTTTTTTCTGTGCCCAGGCATTGTTTTCCATGAATTTTAATGAGTGAATTCAAAATTTACTCGCATTGCGTCTTTCAAAATGATTAACAGCCAGCCAGTGTTTACAAAGATTTATACCCCGTACCTAATCCTCTTCCTGGAATATTGCTTTTCAATTTTGGAAAATCAATTTGTGTAGATTAAATGTTTTGCCAAGTTTCTTCTTTAAAGACCCTTCTTGAAATGGAGGATGTTGACTAAACAAAAGTCCTTACCCCAAGTCTTAAAACAGAAGTCTTTCATTGAACAGTTAAACAATGCCAATTTTTTGTTGGGGGGGGTTGGGAAAGTCTGGTGTTCAAGATTTCAGATCATTTGTCTCGATGTACCTCCCATGTCTGTTCTTTAGACTTCCAATTTTTGAACCAGCCTTGTTTTTATTCCACCTGATTCGGCAGCAATCTGGAGAGACTCAACATGAACGACCTCTCCCAGGTGCCACATGCTAAGGTAATGGCCTGCATGCTGGAGGATACTCTGCCCAAGCTCAGGATTGGTCTGGTCACCGAGGAGTACGAGAGGCACAAGAGACTGAGAGACAGATGGAGGCCGCCGCCAGACCAGGCCAGCAGCAAGGAGAAGGAAGAGGGGACAGTGGAGAAAGCAAGCTGACGCTCTTGTAGAATAGATGATTTTTTTTCTGGAGCTATAGCGCGTTGTTTGTTTCCAGCAGCAGAGAGAGAGAGAGACCAGCGGCTGTGGAGAGTTTGTCGAATGAGGGGAGGAGTCAACTTGACTGCCAAAACAGAGATGGACCCAAGATTCTTCCACTTCCTTAGAAGTTGCTAATCTTGCAGTTTTTTTATGATTAGTCGTACTTCCAAAGAAAATTGAAACCAGTGAATTTTATACAGCACCAGCACATATGGTCTGATAGGACCATTCAATTTCCCCAAGATTGGGGGAAAAAACTAGAGGGTAAGGCTTATTTTCGCATAAAGTAACTGTGAATTCTTCATCTTACTGGCACAATAGCCACCAAAATACGCAATACCATTGTTTGTGTCATGTGTACAACATTTATCATGCGGATCTAGCACTGAATGCTGACTCTGCAGTCTTCTAATACTTTTAGCCCTTGACAAAGCTTCAAAGGCTTGCTTATTCCATACTTAATAGTGGTCTTTGCTTTCCACAATGGCTGATACATCTGTCTGTCGCATGGGTCAGTAAGTGCACCCAATAAGCCTTTGAGAGAAAATAAACTTTATCAAATTGTACAATACAGTACCACGAAACTGTCCTTTGGTTTTCATTTTCTTTACTTTTGTTCCTCACATCTTTCAAACATTTATTTTAAAGTGTTTTACAGTTCATTAAAAAAAAACCTTGATACATATTTGGTGGCCCAATCAAACGACGTCCCCACCCCTCCCCCAAAATTTTCCTGTTTACAAAACTATCAGGTATTTTTTTCCCTGGAAGGAGCCACTTAAACTTGAATCCATTTATATTGATTCCAGTGGGCAGAGGTTTTGTTTGCATAATTCATCCATTCTCTCTCTGAAGGAGAGGTGCATGTATAACTTTTACCAGCGTACAAATGTTGTTTAAGTTAAAGTGCAGGCTTGAGAATTTATCACTTTTTTCATATGATACAGAAAAAATTACCTGAGCTTTGGAAAGATGTGGTCATTTATTTAGATTTTCTTTTTACAATTTTACTAAAAACGGAAATCAGAAGTCAAATTATCTTGAAGAAATTTGAACAGGCAAATGTAGCACAAGGTTTTGATAGAAGGTGCAATTATTTTGTCGCATTAAGAATACTGCAGACAATGTAATTTCAGTTGGTACACCTCTGACAGAAATGCTTAAAACACAATTTAAAAAACATTATTTCTGTTATCAATACTCAACCTAAAAGCTGTCCTTGACTTTAATAATGTACAATTATGAAAGGGTTTATACTCTGCAATATATGGCTCAACATTCACTCTCAATCCCCATACTGACCATTTGACTAATAATGCACACATACATCAATATGAACAGGCATTTTAAAATACACAGATGCTTACAAATGTTGTCTTAACTTGAACTGCTTCTTACAGCTGGCAAAGAGATTCTCACGAAAAAATTTGTCCACTAAAGGTCAGTCTCGCTATAATTTCTCTTGATTTCCTTGATTCTTTTGTGCTGGCTTTGGGAAGGCAATGGAGTAACAACCTAAGACAACTACACGCAGTAACAAACTTAAGTAGACTCAGCCAGTTCCAAGTTCAGGAGTAGAAAGCAAAATCAATCTGGATTCATGTGGTATGGAAATGACTACTTGAGAGGTATGATTCGACTTCAAGGCCCGACAGAAATTCCAACAATGAAGGACCTGATATGTTGAGATTCAAGTGTAAAAGTCCAAAATAATTCCTACACACTGTTGGACTTTTTCTCAAGCAGACTGCTAAAAAATGTATCTTCTTATTCGGTAGTTTACAATGCTCTGATGGAATCACTTAAGTTTAACCCAAAACCTCAAGACTACTACAATTTGCACTGCAAACTCTGAAAGTGAGGACTTTACAAATAAATATTTTTCGTCATTGAACTCTGTCAGCCGCAACACAAAGAGCTCGGCTGTAGCTCGTCATCAGAAGAGTCGTGCCCCGTAGCTGAACGTCGCCATGATGGGATGCCAGTAGTGTCTCTTCCAACCCTCTTTCGTCCTGTCAAAGTCAGCAGCTGGGATGCCAACCTGGGTGAGGGTGAGCTTGGTGCAGTCGGCTCTCTGGGCAAGCTCAATGGTGACTGTGGAGAAGTGGGCTGTAAATAAACAACAAAGACAAACACTTTTATCACTACTTGTAGGGCTCAATCAATTAATCAATTCGAATAATTCACTATTCGAATATTCAACCTTCAATACGATCGAATATTCAAATATCCGGATTAAACCATATAAATCAGTTGCAGTAACACACACAATTGTACATTATTAACACTGTAATAGCCTCTCGTATGTAGGAGTATCTCCAGTCATGATTTAGCAAGACTTAACAGAAAAATAATACTTCATCATTATGCCCTGTTGAAAATTTCTGTTCCTTTTATAATTTTTAATGAATAGTTTACTTTTTGAGTCGTCGTAAGATTTCTGTCACTTTTCATTTGAATCTGCTTGAGGCAATTTTTCTCATTAAAAACAAAAGAAAATTCTCCCTTTTTATGAACTTTGCATTCAAATATTCAAATTCGGAAAAATAATATTTGAATATGCAATAAGCGATCGAATATTCGGCACAGCCCTACTTTGGCTTTCTTTCCGCATACAAAAACATATTGCTACTTCCTCTTCAAAATCTGAATTACCATCTTTTGAATATTTGTAACTGGATAAAAACAGTTACCAGAACAAAGTTACAAGGTAAGTGAGTACTTTCGACAACCCAACCCTCCACCGAGGAAAGACCAATTTTACTTGTCACATACTTCCTATGAACAGCAAGCCAACCCGGTTTTTTGCAAAGTTTCCGTCAAAAGCTTTTACCCGATTGGACAAATAACAAAAACACAAGTGCTTATAGTGACATTCCATAATAAATCATTTTTCACGCATTTGAAAAAAAAAGCTTCAAGATACCTTTCACTACTTTAAACGAAACAGCACTTTTGATGTGCAGCATTATTTCGTCATGTGCCCAGCAAAAGGTCATAAGCGCGTTTAAGCCCTTTTGCCTGGAAGCATGATCACAGTAGAAAAAATGTTCCTGGTAAAAGGGCGTAAGAACCACACTCTCTTTATTTAGTAAAAACAAATAAAATTTACTACAAAATCAACACAGGCTGTGCAAAGAGCAACCTTTGTACAACTTATCAAACGACTTGGGAAATTTTTTTGTAACTTTTTGCAAAGAAATCTTTATATTTCATTAAAATAAAACAGTAGCATAGATAAGTCCTTTTGCCAGAAAAATTTCGTTTTGCAGTGATCATGCTTCCCAGCAAAAGGGCGTAAGCGTTTACAACCTTCTTCCAAGCACCCGACAATATATAATGCCCCTGCTTTCAAACTTTCTTTTGGAACACAAAATGTCTACATTAAATTTCTTGAAACCGCAATCAAAATATGCACAAAGAAATTTTTAGAAACTCTTGACAGACTAGAGACTTATTACAGGTTTCCACTATCTGCCTTTTAACTACTCAAACTAGCAAATGAAAACTTGTCAGATACTTACCTTCAGGCCATGTCTTGAATCTCCAGCGCTGTTCAATTTTGAAAGTAGCACGATCCTGTCAAGAAATGAAGACAAAACTAAAGCATGTCGGTGCAATAAACTAAAGACCTACATGTACAGATATGTCAGGTCTGTCAACCACCTGTCAACTACACGTCAATCAGATCTCATGAAGTACATGTACTAGTGCTTTCAAGTTCAAAATTTCTTTTTTATGCAATATGGAGGGTCGTCTGTGGTACAGTCCCTTAGCTTGCAGCCGAGCATCTACAAGGAATCACATCTGAGCACATCCGTCAGCTCATTACCCAAAAACCTCCTTGTTAGAGCTGACAGAGCACGGTCTGCTGACACCCATCGTCCAATCAACAGCTTTGATTACATCTCTGCTTGAAATGACATCACCAAAAATTGTACATCATCACAATATAAGAGGCTGTTTAGGAGCAGGAGACATGTCACCAGTGGGCTACACTGACTGACTCTGTGGGGGAGGGGAAGACAAGGATAATTTTCACCCTGCCTTTCCATACTTTTAACCACATATCACCGAGTCCAACTCCTAAAAAATCAACTACATTACCCCTCCTATGCTAAGGTACATTCTTGACACAGTTGTCATATCAGTCAAGATCAGTCAAATTTCCCATATGTGTCTGTGTACTGGGGGAAATCAAGTGGAAGGCATTTTTTACTGTTTTTTATGGTTAAAACAGAAGGAGGGTTACAGAGTGTGAAATTTGACCAAAAAAGTGCTCGGAAAAAATGTCATAACACAATCAATTTTGTTCTGCCATTACCTGCTTTTGGTCTGCCAGATTATATAAAAGGTAGAGTTGTAACGTGCAGTGTCAGGGGTTGAAATTCACTTTTTCCCTGGTCCTACTAGAACAGTGCAAGCAGCTGCATTGTGCAATCCTCGTTCGGGCGCAGGCCGCGATTTTTTTTTTTTTTTTAAGTTTGCGCAATCGGGCAAGCCATGTCATAAATTTGCATGCTTGAATTAGGTCAACACTTGCCAAAGATTTCTCAGAATCCACGATTATTGTTATTTAACGAAGGCCTATAGCATACATGCAGTCTTTTAGTAGGCCAAAAAAATACATGATGTAGTTGTGCTGTGCATGCCTCTCAAAATATTTTAAGAGCTGTGACTGATAAGTCGGTCGGACAATTTGGCTGAGCATCTTTGAATTTGTTCAGACAAACGCAGTAAGTGCTCGGAAAATGTCCGATGTCCGACCGTAATTTCACGCTCTGCATTATTCCCCCAAAATTCTTCTTCAGGAAAAACCGTCTAAGAATCTAATCCCGACCCCCCTCCCCCCCTTGGCATTTTCTGCAAAGAGCCTTCCTATCTGCAGTGAGTTGAAGTGCACCCCCACTGGCAAAGAAAAGACAGGTTGGTGACAAGTTTTCCAGAGCACACGCAATGACCATACCAGATCTTGACTCAACCATAAATCAGTCGTGGATACTCACTACATCCCACGCTGAATGCGCATGAACCCTTTGCACGTGTGCAATGAATTCCCATCCAAAGGATAAAAAAAGTTAAAAACACACTCTCCCTTCTTCCTGCTCAAAGCAGAGAAAATCCTCCATGATGCGGGATGAGCCCTGAGCTAGACCAAGAGAGGGCGCAATCTTCCTAGCAACGGAGGCTTCCTGGTGGGAACTGCCCAGTTCACGACTGACTATGAAATTCATGTGTAGTGGTCGCATCGCTACCAACTAAATGAACATTACGTACCACCCATGGATCTTTTCAACCAATTAGAGGGTGCTAAAAGGCGGATACCAACAGCATGCCCTTTGCAACTCAACCAGGGCTCAATCTGTCCTCAATCCTACCAAATCCTCCAAACCTATTCAAAGGGTTTTGAAGGTTGCGGACAGGGTCATAAGCAGAGGTCTCCCACACATGACTCACCAGTGATACGAACTCTCCACTGACGTTGCCATCAAACAGACTAAACTTGCCTCCGTTTTCTGCCTCCATCACAGCCTGAGTTCTTGTGAATGCCGAGACCCTCTGTGTACATTAATAGGAAACACAATATAAACAGATGGCACAGGGTCAGTTCCACGCACAAGGAGCCACAGGCAAAACTAAGGAGATTCATGAGAAAAAGATGGTAAAATGGAAGTAACATTAACCACTTCCTGCCGGGGACTCCGGGATCGGAGACGTATGGTTCATATGGGTGGCCGGGGTCTCCGAACTCGGACAAAGGAAACAGGGCCCTGTAACAAAAGACTGTACTCCAAACAAAAGACCAGGCTACTGGGCATTACCGACATTTTTCACTCTCAAAAGTGGTGATGATTCAGCCTTGTTTTGAGACCGTATACCAGGGTTTGGGGCATTGAGAGTGAGCGGATTACCACCGGGGACAAAAGCGCTCCACCATTGCAGCGATGAGCCACACAGCACCGCTGCACGCTAATCTGGCCCCTCTTGAAAAGAGGTCAGCAGTGCACTAAGCCAGGTTCGTGAACAAAAGACAGTTACACAACACCGCACAATCTNCTTTTAACCACATATCACCGAGTCCAACTCCTAAAAAATCAACTACATGTACATTACAGAGCGCCAAATTAGACCACAAAAGTGCTCTGACAAAATGTCATAACACAATCAATTTTGTTCTGCCATTACCTGCTTCTGATGTGCCATATTATATAAAAGGTAGAGTTGTAATATGCAGTATTAGGAGTCGAAATTCACTTTTTTTTCCTGGTCCTACTAGAACTGCACACGCAGCGGCATTGAGCAGTCCTTGTTCGGGCGTGATTGGGCAGGCCATGTCATAAATTTGCATGCTTGAATTAGATCAACACTTGCCAAAGATTTCTCAGAATCCACGATTATTGTTATTTAACTAAGGCCTACTGCATACATGCAGTCTTTTATTAGGCCAAAAAAATACACGATGTGTAAAAATTGGGTCGGTAGGTCGGAACATTCTTTTGTTTGAGGGCAATTTTGTGCTGATTGAATGGCATCAGTGGGGGCGACAGCCTCCAAAAGTATCTCAAAAAGTGATGAACACCTGTCTTAATCTATGTACAAATTTCTAAATACGGCAATTCACAAGAAAATTATGAACAATTCACACATTCACGACGGCAAACTGGCCAACAGTGTCCGTGTATCGCGTGGTAAGCGTGCGTGATGCATCTAGACCAGCGGGTGCTAAACCTTGTGCCATGAGCAGAACAACCTCAAATTACACTCATGAACACAGAAAATACTGACATAAATAAGAGACCGAGTTCTGTGAATTAACTTGCAAAAAACCTCTTGCAACATAACATCGATGTCTTTCCGGCCTGTGGCCTTTTGCATTCGTGATGTGTACGGCTGATGAAGACTGTTTATGTACAGAACATTCAATACATGTACAGTACAGACTGGTACTGGTTGCTACATTTCCATCACGCATTCTTTTGCGTGGGTGCGGTGCATGGGTATTGTGGGGCGATTTCATGTCTGTGCAAGTGAAATATATACACGCGTGGCCTGCACTAGGTGACATGGGCCGGTGATGAGCGATCAGCCCTGATGAATAACTTGGGCATAATTAACGTAATTCTAACATAAAACTAACAATAAATCAGACGCCATAATCTCATATATTGTGTTGACATTTTAAGAGCTGTTATTGATAAGTTAGTCAGACAATTTGTCCAAGCATCTTTGATTTTGTTTGACCACACACAAAGTGCCCGGAAAATGTCCAATGTCCAACCATAATCTCACGCTCAACATTATTCCCAAAAAATTCTTCAGGAAAAACTGTT